CTTTTGTGATGCTTTGTGTTATTGATACTCTTTATCTAACCCAGCACATTAAAATCTGATTGTACAATCTCCTTTAGATCTACCAACAGTTATGTCATACAAGAGGCTGCTTGACTAGATACTAATTTATTGGGTCGTTAAGTATGCCCTTATATTACATAGCTTTGGTAAATCTACAAAGATCGCACAGGCAGACTATAACGTACATAGTAAGCTTTAGGCTACATGCATGCGGGTAGTGCAGCCCATCAGCATCAAATCCTGGGTGCCAAATCATAACCAAAGCCAGCAACTCCTCTAAGCATCCACTATATCATCTGCTACAATTCCTGCTGCTGGATTCCCCACAAGTGTACAGAAAATAATAAAAAGTAATTAAAAAAATAAATGTCACAAACAAGTGCCAGCAACCCTCTCCTGCTGCACTGGGCACAGGTCCAAGAAAAATGGCCCTTTAGTCTGCATATTATACCGAACATTCAAAGCACTCTGTTATACGTTATCCAAGTAAAGGGTTGTTAGCTACATAAGAAAAGACACAGAGACCATGTGAAATTGTTTGTAAATGTATTTTCTCTTGAGTCATAAATGACAGTCACTATTCCTTACACCCAGAAGTCAACAAATATATCCATTTACTAAAGAACAGTCACCTTCAGAACTAACATTGTTCTCACTTTTCCTGGAAATTACCAAAAAGAATAATTTACATTCACTATTATTAGATTTGGAGAACATCCTGAAATTGGTAAGTAAACAAACATTTGAGACCTAGATATAAAAGTGTTAAGAAAAACAGAAAAATAATGTCATGCCAAATCTTATTAGTTATAAGTTATCATTTTTTTTAGATTAAAACAGAAAAGCTTTTTTATGGGACAGGTTTTTTTTTAATTCCAGATTAGAGGTTTTAGCATATCCATATGTAATGAAGCCTTATGATTATAAAGCATTTGAATAATATAAACTGATATGATGTAATCCAAATGAATTCCTATAAGCTGCATCAAGTTGTATCAATTTTACTTAATTAATGAAGCAAGCCTGAGAGTCTTGGTGTGCGGAAATCCACATCAACCAATCAGAAACAGGATTTCACCAGTCACCTGTTTCCGTCTTCTAGGTTTAGAAAAGTGGATTTCTGATTAGTTGCCATGGATTACTGCAGAACATTACTGTATATAGAATGTCACACCTTTCTACTTAGTACATAATATGCTCAATACGGTTTTCATGTCTGAGTTCTATTCATGACAGTTGAACGATGTTCCTCTGGCTCTACAGATACGTTTCCACTAAACTAAGTGGTAGTGCTCACAATACTCACACTCAGTGGAGGTCTATAGAATATATTCCTGTTAAAGTAGCATTAAGCCCTTCTCTTTTTTTATTTTAAAGGCATAGTTCACCTTTACCAAAAACTGCCCATGCAGGTAAGGGGTGGCATAATGAATTATGCCTTTGCTATAGATATATCATCTATGTACCTTGTGAAGCCTCACTGAAAAACTCCCAGAGATGACATCATCCCATCCTGCCTTGTTGCTGGGACATTGCTAATACACTCTCAGCTGTTACTGTTTCCTCCACTAGCTCAGAGACACTGCATCAGGGGAAAGAAAGCGTATGCAAGGGGGGATTGAATAGAGAAAAGGCTTGCTCCTGTGATGGTGGAAGTGAACAGTAACAGCTGGGAGTGTATTAGCAATGCCCTAGCAACAAGGCAGGAAGGGATGATGCCATCTCTGAGACTTTTCAAGTCAGGCTTCGGGAGGTTTGCAAACGGCCTACACCTATGGCAAGAGCATTCCACAACTTTGGTCAAAGCTGCACAGTTTGTTTTTATCTACAGATGCCCCTTATCTGCACAGGCAGTTTTTTGGTAAAGGTGAATTATGCCTTTAAAGTGTTCACTTCCACCAAAACCACCTACAGCATTAACAATTTTGAGCATATATTCCCAATCTCTTACTTTGTCACTTGCTCTTTATGGATGCCACTAGCTTGAACGTTGGTCAGGGAGGGTGGGGAGTGCAGGGAGTGCACACTGTAGAGATCACATGACTGCTCACATCAGCAGTACTTGGTCCCTCATCCCAGGCCATCCTATATATGGTCCCTCATCCCCCAAGGCCCACCTATGTCAGCTACCTATTTGATAAAATAGCGCACACCCTATCCCATGTTAAAGTGCCCTAGTCGGCATATTATGGTCATATGACTACCTTCATCCTTAATGCCATGATAACGTGGCACATGCACGCCCCGTTACAGGCTGAAGCGTGCACGTAAGGGTGGCTTGATGTCACCTTGCAAGGCAGGAGAGCCACCAAATGTAAATGAGGAAACGAGAAACTTCTAAGGCAGAATGCAAAGGCTGGGGACAGGAAGCAAAGAGCAAACATTATATGTCCTGTTGTGAGCTGCTACTGTACGTATGACATTTCACCACGAGGGTTTAATAACACTTTAACTTTGGATATGCATTCATTGTGAACACTTGTGTATATTGAGGCCCTTTCTATACAATGTTCAAAGGATGTAGGCTGGTTCTGTTTATTGAGCTGTGAACAGAACTTGATGCAAATGTTCTGTGGGTAAAGAAAGCCACTCCTTTTTTTCCCCCTACATTTGATATACATACAAACTACTTAAACTGTTAATTTAAAACAAAATAAACAGCGGAGCTAGGTCACTGTAAGAAATATTTCATGAATACTTAAATCTCTCAATGCATACATTGGATTTTGTAATTATTTGGGAACCATTATCTCAGAAACAACTAAAACAAACAGTTTAAAAACAAAAATTGTACTTATCAACTTCTATCTAACAGCACCATGGAATAAAGGCAAATGCCCATATCAGAAAGGCAGTACCGGTTACTGGTCTTGGTCCCAAGCCTCAACAGACAACATTCTTTCTACTTTCGGAAGCTTATTGCTGGCCAGTTTAGGGTATTCAACAATTTTCATGATTGAAGTTACATTCATGAGATGCAGTCTACTACTGGAAACCAGGGAATTTTTAGGCACTTGTTATCAGGCCATGATGGTCAGGAGAGGAGAGTAATAAGAGAATCACACTGGAGATGGTGTCAAGACTCAGAGGTCACATGATCAAATAGGCAGAGGTTTATTACCTCTACAGCTGTCTTGTGTAAGCTAAAAGTCAATCCTAGTTAGAGCTTACACATGGCTGAAGACTCTCTCTCTGCCACCACGTGACAGTGTTGATGCCTGATTGGCCAAATACCAAGCAACAGCACTTTCACATGGAAATAAGAGAAGTGCATACATGCTCTCCTATATCCAGAAGTACGGGTATTTCTCCTTACTCCAAACAGGGAACAAAATATCCAGAGAGTAAAAGAAATGTGAGTATGAGCTACTCCGCTTTACTGTAGGAGCTGTCAAATGGGCATTTCTATGACAACAGCAAATGTAGAATGACTAAAATGTAACTTCCATTATAACTATAGAAGTCATTCTGTTTCTGCAAAAGCAATTGCCAGCAATGGAGCAGTGTTAGAGCAGAAACAGTGGTTCAATCAGAAAGAAAGAGATTCATTGGACAATATAAGTTTAATTTAGCAATTTTGCCATTGATGAAGTATTGCCAGACAGAGAACCACCCATCACACGTGGGCTTTAAGTGCCAGCTCACCCAAAAATGACATTTAAATCAAGGCCGAATCCTGGAATGCTGAATCACCAATAGCTTATTTTGGGGACTTGGGATATTTTACAATCTGGGTTCCTATGTCTGGCACCCCCCTGCCACCACAGAGTCATAATAGCCACAATTCCTGTCAATTAATAAATTAGATATTGTATTTAATTGAGAACATAAGAGTCCTTCATAAAGACCAACCTTTCTCAACCTTTTGGTTTCAAGTGTAGCTCAACAGAGCAACTCTTGAAATAACTTTCAGAACTCAAGGAACCCCTGTTAATAATTACCATCCAATTCTAGGGTAATGGTCACTAGGAAAAACACTCCTTACATGTGTGATCATGGGGAAGAAGCTTATAGGTAGCTAAAAAGATCTTTGCTGTCAATGATTACTTATCTGAGAGGTAGAAATTGCTCCTCACTCAAAGAACCCCTAGCAAACTCTGGAAGAACCCTATTTGAGAAAGGTTGATCAAGACCAAGGCAGAAGGGAGCAGACATGGGATCTAATGTGAAAAGATCTCATATATACAGTCACTTTTTCTTTTTTTTTGGAAAGCAAGAACCTACATGTGTTCATATTAATGGTTTTGCTATTACATTTTGATTTCCTAGTTCTTGGACCCATCAGATGTCATTTATTATAGTCAACACCCACCAGCAGTCAATCACCTCTCTCAACATTCTATCATACTTCTTTATTGACATCCACCTACTGTCACTCCTCTTTGTTGATGCTCACTTGAAGTAACTCATCTTTAATTGGCAGTTGTCACATCTCTGCTGCAAAGCTCATTTACATTTTACAACTTTCATTTCACATTCATTTGATTAATGACACATTCATGTAATCCCCTTTTTAATTGCTTTTCCTGGTTCTCATTCTTTAGCGTTTTTATTTAAAAAATAAATCCCATATTCTCTTTGTACAGCATACTGGGATTGAAAAGGTTCAGCAGATTAACAAGTGATTTATTTACAAAGCCTTGGTGCAATCAGCTGTGTAGTAAAAACAGGGACTGATAGAAGGAAGCATAATGCCCTTGGTTTGGGTATATCATCAGGTGTTACATTAAGAGTCCTTTATTTTTAAGGCTGAGATGTACTACAGAATCAATTATTTATTCCATTCAGTGCCAGGAAGACTTTCAAACCTCTGCATTGCAAAGTAGTACTACAAGTCTTCCTGGCATTGACACACAGAAAGCTCCCCGACCTTACTTTTGAGGCAGTTTGTTACAAACCTACAGATAACAAGTACAGCTGTGAATTGTGCTATTTTAAAGTTCAGAGGTCCTCCAGTGTGGGGTTATTCCAGAGTTGCGTCATTTGTGGAGGTAGGCATCTAACCACAGGTCCCCTGACTTTCTCAGAGATCTAAACACAGAAGAAAATGAGATCAAATGCTGATCAAAGCATAGTAAGCAAAAATGTGATAAAGAAAATATGAACACAAACATTAATATTCTAAGGCACACAAGAACAAACCAGAAATCATCTTTCTGTACACTGACAGTAGGATCTAATTGGTTACAATGAGTTGATGTATATTAAAGCAATCACATTTCAGCAGTAAAGGTGCAACGTTTTGGCGTCACGCAGGACCCCTTCATCAGGAATGTGATAAGTGCATTGCCATAGCATTTAACCACTGCTAACCCAGCACCGGTATACCTTTAATAAGGTTTGTACACCGGGAACTGCAGGAAAGCTCAGCGATCATGTGACCACTGTGATTGGCTGATACAGTGATCACATGATTGGGAACTAGTCCTACTGGATTCTGGTCATTAGTAAAGACTAAGGGCTGCCTTTGACAGGCTTGGTCTCTGTGCTGGGAGCATGCAATGAGTGCACTTTCAGCACAGACACATCGCCCACCCAGAGACGCATATGTGCATTGTGTGGTTGTTAAAGCCTGTCCTTTTGCCACAACACATAAGTGTTATGCAGGCGGCAACAGGTTAAAGAACCATCCATCAATCAAAATTCAGAAAGAGAAACAAAATAGCCAAATCTTGATCTTTGATGTCATAATGTCACAAACCTGCTAAAATGTCACAAACCTGCTAAAATAATGCAAAATAAGTGACCCTGCCTATCCATAGATAACATAACTTTAGCCATTATTCAAATTACTGAAGACAGAGGGCAGCAAGTGTGGCAGGCTCTTGGAGTATGTCGTGAGGTTAGACTGCAAGCTCCTGAGAGTGCACAACAGTGTGAAACAATACAACCTTTTCTTTTTTATAAAACCCAATGAACATTTATAGTCATATGTCAGGAATGGCATCATATTCACATTCTATGAAAATAGGATGTATAGTGATCAGGGGCGGACTGACAACTCATGGGGCCCCCGGGCAATAGGGGATCATGGGGTCCCTGTGTCCTTGTCCAAACTCAAAAAAGCCTATGAAAAAGGTACCAGGGGCATCTCATGGGGCCCCCTACTGACCCCAGGCCCTCGGGCAGTGCCCGGGTTTCCAAATGGTCAGTCCGCCCCTGATAGTGATACATATTATAGTGAGGAGGAGGAGGAGGAGAAGTGCTGAACCTTTAGATACAATTATAGTCCTGGTTAAAAAGTATTCCAGCAGTGTCTGAATCCACAGGCAGCTCCAGTATCTTACAGGAGGCTAAAAATCGGCTAAAAAGCATGTGAGAGAAAACATATGAGAGTGCCAGTTTACTGCTATGTGTCCAGAATAAATGTTAGAAACATAGAAAAGTTATGGCAGAAAAAAGACCAAGTGGTCCTTCGAGTCTGCAATTCACCCACGCTTTTTTTTTTACTTATAATTTTTTTTTTACTTTTTTCTCTGAGTATAGATCTATGTTTGTCCCAAGCAGGTTTGATGCCACTCACTGTTGACTGGCTCACTATCTCTGCTGGAAGTCTATTCCAATATAACAGTATTCCATGTTGTTACTTGTAACATTCAGTAAAAGTAGCCAGCATGTTTCAAGGGGTGCAGAGGTCCCCCTTTATCAGGGCTGGAATGCAGTAGGAACTAAAACTTAGAAATGAAGAATAATTGTGAGTGCATGATCAGTAAGAAACAGATTAAGCCCTTAAATCTTTACATTGTTATGTATGAATTATCTAATATACTACTGTGATGAAAAAAATAACTTCAGTATTAAGAGGCTATCACATGCCACTAGAAAAGTCAAAGGGAATTTGGTAAAGCAATTATTATGGTTTTTTGGTGGTATGGGCCTTTTAAAACAGCCTAGGGCTCAAGCCTAGTACACACAGGCCGAATGTTGGGTTCAATAAAAACCAGAAGACTTTTTGACCGAAAAAGGTCTGCCAATTGGCTCCCAATCAGCACTGACCGGTATGTTCTGGTGGTGGGGCCGCCCCCCTGTCAGAACACAATAGTTCAGCGGGGTAGATTGCTGTACTAACATTGGATTGCTAGTACAGCGGCTCCTCCTGAGCTCTGCAGTTTTTCTTGTTCAGCCCGCTGGGTTGAATAAAAGAAACCTGCTAGCGTGTGTACCAAGTTTAATTCAGGAAAGCCTTGCAAAAAGTTTTTCAAAGCTTTCCAACACATGAAATTTGTATAATACTTAGCGGTTAATTCACTAAGAGATAAATACCGCATGAATGAATGAGTTAAAATAACTCATGCGATATTTATCTCAAAAGTAATCAATTCACTAAAACATGCGTTATTTAGCAGATGCATTAAATAAAGGCACACAGCAAATATTGTGAAAATATGAAAACATTCTAATGTGCTTTCATTCACAAAATGATCTCCCTCTGATGAACTGTTACAATTTTTTCATTCCTGATAACAGCGGAGAACCTTTTTTTTACACTGATACATTGTATACTTTTCACTACCTAGTCGTGCAGAGCTCTTCTAATTGTTATTTCATACATTTCTAAAATACCACCACCAAACACCAGGTGACAAATAACAAATGTGTGTTTTTTAGTGAATTGACCTGAAACCCTGGTTCACACACACTAGGGTCTGGGATTAAAAATCCCATTTCAATCTTTGCAGATGACACCAAGCTGTGCAGTGGAATAACGTCCTTACAGGATGTCTCCATTGTACAAGCCGACCTCAATGCACTGTTTAATTGGGCAACTATGTGGCAAATGAGGTTTAATGTTGATAAATGTAAGGTTCTGCACTTGGGGGCTAAGAATATACATGCATCATACATACTAGGGGGGGTACAACTGGGGGAATCAATGGTGGAGAAGGATCTGGGGGTTCTGGTAAATCACAAGTTTAATAATGGCATGCAATGCCAAGCTGCAGTTTCTAAAGCGAGAAAAATCCTCTCTTGTATTAAAAGAGGTATAGACTCCAGAGAGAGAGATATCATATTACCCCGGTACAAATCATTAGTAAACACCTCATCTGGAATATGCAGTTCAGTTTTGGCACCAATTCACAAAAAGAACATTGGGGAACTGGAGAAAGATTTGGTTCTGGCCAGCTCAGTGGATTGCTTTAAAAAAGCCTGGATTCTTTCTTAGATACACAGAATATAACTGGATACTAACATTTATAGATACAGTTGATCCAAGGAATATCGGATTGCCTCTCGGGGGATCAGGAAGGAATTTTTTTCACCTGCAAGAACAAAGTGGATCATGCTTTGCTGGATTTTTTTTTGCCTTCCTCTGGATCAACTGTGGGTATAGGATTTGTTTTTTTTTGGTTGAACTAGATGGACTTTTCTCTTTTCTCAGCCAGACTAACTATGTAACTATGTAACACTGAATGCAACTTTGAAATTGTGCTACTTCACTTGAAATAATGCGATTTCAAAGCAGCAGATCATTGCGAATTGTACCTCTGATTTCACAACGGGATTCGGGAGGGCGGGGGGGGGGGGGCGAGGGTGCGGGGGCGGTCCATTCGTGACATGATACATGTTACACCCTGAATATGGGTGTAGCATGTAATGTGTTACCAAAGATGAACTTACCCTTTAAGGTAAAAACATTTTTAGGTTTAGTGTCACTTTTATGATTTATCTCATTTCTTGGTGGTACTTATCTTACAATTTTAACAAAAGTGCATTATTTACCTCACATTCCACATTTTAATTTGATGAATTGACTCTTTTATTATCTCATGCAATATTTCTACAAAATGAATCACATGATCTTCATATCACATGTGGTAACCTTTAGTGAACTGACCCCTTAGTGGTTTATCGGCTAAATGCAATATTTTCTCTGTTAAAGCAATAAAAAAACATTCAATCCAAACAAGAAATAGCCTACTAACATTTGTTTTTTTGCACAGATTAAATGTTCATGCCCTTCTGCTGGGCAAATTGCTATGCATATTTTATATAAATACACCCCAAAGTGTAAAATTTAAATAAATGGCTATATCTTTCAAGATTCAACAGCCATAATACTTTACCAAAGAAATATAAGCTGCTACAAGGTTCTCTTTAGCTGCCAAAAGACTGTAAGAAACATGCTGGACTAGAAATTACAACAAAGCAGTTAACAAATTTGTAAAATGAAGAAAAAGATTCTGACCCAATGATGTCCTTGAAGGCTTTCCACATGGGTTTTTCTTCGTAGAGTACATCATACTTTTTACACAGAGAACGTACAAAGGGAGCAATCTTGTAATAGTTGTGGCGAGGCATAGTTGGGAATAGACTATAGAAAGGAGAGAGAAAATATACAAGTTCACTGTTTTACCAAATGACACACAAATAAAGTAAGTTCCACCAATATGGTAAGAATATGCCCTGTAAATATAATGTATTGTATATATGAGCTTAGACACAATGTCCGCCAGATTTGTTGTGTGCTCTGCACAACTGCTAGCATTGGGCTTGATTTACTAAAACTGGTGCATAGAAACCAGTCAGCTACCAGGTTTTATTGCCAAAACTTAAGGGACCTTTCATACTGGGGTTCCATTTTTTCCATCAGTTCAGTTTCTTGGAAAAAAAAAAAAACGTATCAGTTCACATCCATTTTTTATCCGTTTACATCCATTTGTCATCAGTTTACATCCGTTTTTACATCCTTTACCAATGCAAAAACAGACTGTATGTCCTACATATGGTTTTTGTCCGTTTACATCTGGTTTTCATCCATTCCGTTTTGTTTATGGAAGAAAAATAGGGTTTTCTTCTATTCAAAAAAACAAATGTTAACCGATGCGGACATTAACAGATGTAAATGAATGATCATCCATTTACATCCGCTAGTCCATAAAAAAGCATGGGTGTCCATTCTTCATCTAAAACGAACAGATGAAAAACGGACAGACGGAACGCCCGTGTGAAAGAGCCCTATTTGTACAAGCTGAAGTTAGAAGCTGATCAGCTACCATGCACAGCTGCACCAGATTTTGCACCCTCCAGTTCTTGTAAATCAACCCCATTAGAACAATGCCAAAAAAAGAAGGATGGACCAGGGGCGGACTGACAACTCATGGGGCCCCTGGGCAATAGGGGATCATGGGGCCTCTGTGTCCTTGCCCACACTCAAAACCACACCCAAGAAAGCCTATGAAAGGTATCAGGGGCATCTCATGGAGCCCCATACTGACCCTGGGCTCTCGGGCAGTGCCTGAGTGCCCGAATGGTCAGTCCGCCCCTGGTAAGGACTATCCATTCCATGTCAAGCCAAAAGTGACCACTTACTTCCAATTCCCCATCCTGCACCTGCAACATTAACAGGTTTGGGCAACCATTGGGTAGTGTAAACATTCATCTTCTAGCCCAATTGGCCTGCTAGTATAAATCAGCTAAACAAAAGCTGCAGGATATCTTACAGTTCATTTATGAAAGCAGCCACAGCCAGAGTACAAAAGCCTGTCCTTCGCCATCATGCTGTGGAGAAGGACTCTTTCTTTGCAGACTCTCTGCAGAGGATCTTCTGCTGAGTAAGAACTAGAGCTCTCCAACCATCAGGGACTTGGCCAATTGCAAGTATGGCGACTGCGGAGCTATAGGTTGGACTCAGCAGGGGGGATGTTGGATCTCTACAGAGAGACCACCGTTTCTGTACAGAGAACTGTCCTTTACTGCAGCAAACTGGAAGGGGACAGGCTTTTCTACTTTGTCTGTGGCTGCTTTCCAAATTAAAGCACCCCTAACATTGAAGGAGAAGAGGAGGGACAGTTAATAGAACTTGAGGAAAACTGGCAAACATGTAGATTAGCATTAACAAATGCATTTAATTTGTATCCAGTCAAGTTAGCCATTGCACCACATAAGTTCATCAGTATCGAACTGTAGGAAACAAACAGCATGGGTAAATGTAAGAACCTCTGTCAGCATCCTACTGCTGTCTGTGTCCCAATTAGACAGATCTCTCCTCACTTCCTTTCTAAATCTACAAACAGGTTTTTGAGTGGACTTGACCTTTAAGATAAATTCTGAATTTTTGCTGTGATATTGTGGCCTCATCTTGAATATGCAGTTCAGTTTTGGTGAACAATCATCAGGAAAGATGTTGAGTTAGAAAGAGTTCAGTTAAGAGCAACAAAATCAATAAGGGGGATGGAAGACTTCAACTATGAGGATCAATTACCTCGGTCACAGTTATTTACTCTGGAGAAGAGGTGCTTAAAGTGTTACTGAACACACAAGAGTAAAATTGGTCTGTATACGCAATAAACCATTCTTGTTATACGCACTGTGGAAACTAAGGAGTTAATCCTCAGCATTGTGTAAAAAGGCTGTTTGATCCTGACTTCTCTGATCCTCCCCTTCTTCCAGTGTACCCCTCTTATCTCCTGATAAGGCATATTGTGTGGGGTCACTCTGCACATGCTCAGTTTAGTGTCTATTGATATAGATTTTTTTTTTTTTCTTGGGAGAGTGCATGTGATCAGTACAGGATCAATCAGCACTGTTCAGACAGAGGTCAGGGGTTTTGCATCCTGCTAGAGCAGAATGAAAACCCCTCATACAAGCTTTACCATGTGGTCAGCTGGACACTGATAGAAGTCACAAGACTTCATTAACTGCTACTGAGAAAAGGTTTTTAGCAGTTTATATTTGCTAAAATAATTGCATTTCCATGTTCTGTGTACTGTGGGGGACCAGATATAGTGAATGCAGGGGCCTGGGTTTAGTAACACTAACAAGAGGGGATATGATTACATTGTACAAAAATATCAAAGGTGACTTCAGCAACTGTAATAAACTGTTTACTCTAAGGTCCCTGAAGAAGGCATACAACCACAATTTGAAATTAGAAAAAAGTAGATTGTAGAAAGGGTTCTTTATTGTTAGAGCAGTACAATGTGGAACTCCCTCCCCCAGGAAGTGGTACTAACTGGCAGGGGCGGACTGACAACTCATAGGGCAATAGAGGATCATGGGGCCCCTGTGTCCTTGCCCAAACTCAAAAAAACCTATGAAAAAAGGTACCAGGGGCATCTCATGGGGCCCCCTACTGACCCCGGGCCCTCGGGCAGTGCCTGAGGTTCCAAATGGTCAGTCCGCCCTGCTAACTGGTAGTATCAACAACTTCAAAACACTTTTAGATGTGTCCTATGAAAATTGTTAGAGAATAAAAACTCATACGCACACATAGGTGTCCGTTTATGACACAGAGAATAGCTGTGATTCAACAGATCTCAGCTATTCTCTGGTCATTCACAGTTTATGACACTCAGGAGATCATGTCAGCCCTTCACTGGAGATCTGTGTTCTTCTCCAGATTTTCCAGCCCAGAGCTGGAGAATCAGAGGGACCGAAAACTAAGCAGAGATAATTTACCTCTGTTTAGTAAACTGATCTTTTACTGTAATCTCGAGAGATTATAGTAAAATAAGCCGTTTTTCAGAGTTTGTAGACCATTCTCCAGCGTTTGGAGACCGTTCTCCCTTCGTTTCGGAGAACTGCTTCATAAACTGCATTCTCAGGAGAACTGTGTTCTCCGAGAATGCCAGAGAACTGAGCAGCGATCATTTACCGCTGGTTCACAAACGGACACCATAGTTCAAAGTGGATGGACATGTGTCTTTTTTTCAACCCTATAAATGGTGTAATTATATAACATTGGACTGCATGTTGGATTTTCATTAGCAAAAGCAAAGAATTGTGGAGAGGCATAATAAATCAACTGAATCTCAGCCCTATTATGTATTTATCCATTCATGACTGCAGGGACTGCAGTATATTAAATATATACTCACTGATGTTCAATCTGAAAGTTGAGGATGTCCACTGAACCAGTCATTGAAGAAGGATTGTTCTATATTGCATGTTGCTGCCAGCTGTGAAAAATGACAGATGTACAAGTTAGATATGGATAAAAAAATAGCTTCTCTCTCATTTTTATGTAATGCAAAGCAAAGAAGTGTTAAAGCGGAGCTCCACCCAAAAGGGGAAGTTCCGCTTTAAGGACTGCTCCCCCGCTCCCCATTAAGGATTGGCACCTTTGGGAAGTGGGGGGGGGGATTTTATAGGTACCCGCTCCCACTTCCGGTCCGATCGCCTAGGCAATAGGAAGCGGAAGGTGTCCTCCCTCCCTGTAGTCTTGTGGGACACATGACACGTCCCAGAAGACTGCAGGACCATTCATGTAGCACAGCGCTACTCACGCATGCACAGCGGGTACCCAGCTGTGAAGCCGCAAGCTATCACAGCCGGGTGCGCACACTGAAGATGGCGGCCTCCTGGAATACAGAACGGCCGGTGAAATGAGCTGCAGGGGACACACTGAGGGACCGAGGGACAGGTAAGTGGCTGTTTTTTAAAAGTCAGCAACTACAGTTTTTGTAGCTGCTGACTTTTATTTTTTGATAGCGCGAGTGGAACTCCACTTTAAATAGCTGTTTAAATCTGACATAATATTTGTATGGAAAATGCATGTGCTACTGTAATGCTTGTGGCCATCTCAAATACTTTGGCTAAAGCTGAACTCTGGGCATAAAAACGTTCATTTCAATCATTCCTCAATAACCACTATAAATCCACCTGACGTGCACCAAATGCCATTGGAGACTCTTGTAGAAGGTGCAATGACATTGTCATTGTGCTGCACATCGCCTGTGCAAGGTGCAAAGCTGGGTGGGACTCAACAGGTCCTTCCACTACAAGCTAGAGAAAACTAGAGGGGGCGGATACAAGACCAGTCTCTCTGTACAAGGAGAGAGAACAGCAGTGTTTATTACAGGAAGGTCCAGCACAAATGAAAAGTTCCATGCTGGATTACTGCACAGATCTGGAAGAAATACACAAAGATAAAAGCAAGCAAAGGGCCAAATCCGACCCCCCCGGCCAGTTTGGAGACCACTAGCATAGACTGTCAGAAATGACTAATTAAGATAACAGAGGAATGACAGAGTGGACAGAAATCACACTTGGTGCTTTGGATCAATGCAAGTACACACTATAGAAGGATATGCTTTGTTCATTTTTCATTTAAGAGGTTTACAACCACTTGGCACCCAAGGACATCCATGAACGTCCTTGAGTTGCAGTGGTTATACCAAGATGATGCCTGCAGCTACAGGCATCATCCTGGAATCTTTGTTTTCAGCCGGTGATTTTCTCTTTTTTGTAAAAGCAATCCTAGCGGCTGACAAGCTGCTGGATTGCTTTAACAGGCCACAGGAGGGGGCACCCCCCCTTATGCCACCTTCTGCTGCCTTTCCAGGGCTTGCCCATGCGATTGTGGAATCCAGGATCACAGCCAACGATTTTTCCGGCTGATTATAGAGATTATCAAGGACAAGAATGTCCCCAATGACCTCTATGGTCTAGGAAATCTGATGTGACGAAAATTTTCATCCAATTTAATGAGGCCCAATTTTATAACAACAAATGAATACAGTAGGACATAATATTTATTGTTACATCACATGTGTGACATATGGCGGTCATAAAGGTAATGACATAACACAGCAGTAGCATAGAGGCTTGGTGAATCTCTGCTGCTAGAAGGAGCTATTCATTAAAAAATGGGTGGAGCTATGAATAGACTGGGTGACAATAAGCCCATTCACAAACCTTTCAAGGGATTAGAGTTCACCTGTCATCATCAGTTAGTGACCTGCCATGGTGTTAGTCCCCTACCTGACTGCCCAGCCAGTTTCTGTATTTTTCATGGTCAATCTCCATGGGGATATGATTCATCTGTGTGACCCACACAAACCAGTGTGACTCAATAAACCTGCAAAGCATAGGGGACAGGTTTCAGAAAGGAAGATGACATGCGAACAGCCATAAGGAATTAACAAGCCATTTGATTAGGTATCAAGGGAGAGAAAGTCTATTTAAAGGAATCACATCAATACTGAAGCAGACATTAATAGAGGGTGAAAGAAAAAAAATCACTGAAGATGTATACCCTGCTTAAGAAAACAAAATGTTTATTCCACCAAAAATGTAACAAGTTAATTCCAATAAATAGTAATAGAACTGATATAATAAGTTCTGACTATGTCTGGATGTTTACAAATGAGGATTGTAAGGGTATTAGAATTTCAATGGTGGCCTGAAGCTTTATGATGGCCTTATTGACAAAAATATTTGCATTATGTAAGATGCCATTTTAATATTTATTTCGTATAGATTGTCTGGGTGTGTATGTTAAATGCTGGGACATGTGGGAGCATTTAATGCACAATCTAAGATAAACGTTTTGAGTTGCTATATTCCGCAGCCTGGGTTCACACTGATGCGGTGCGGAATTCGCAGCGTTTTCTTTGCGAATTTCGCACCGCATCACAATCACACCCCGTTCATGCTAACCGCTGCAGGTGTGTATGGTAACAACACCCTGAAATCGGTCCGTAAAAAACACGGTGTGATGTGCAGAATCGCATCGCATGGGTGTGAATACCCATGTGATCCAATTCTAGTGCGGACCAAAAAAAGGGTCCTGCACATTTTTGGTGTGGATGCGGTGCGATTGGAGCCATACAAAATGTATGGCTCCAATCGCACCGCACACAATTCGAATGGGATTTGCACAGGAATGTGGTGCGGTTCCTGTACAAATCACATGCGACGTACCGCACGACATATGTGTGAACCCAGGCTCAAAGCCAGCCTGTACTGAAATAAATATGTCAGTATAGGGAAGCGTCATTTATTATTTCATAATTAATCATTTAATTAAAGTATATGTAAACCCTCACCTTGCAAAACAATCCATTTGATTTGAAATAGAAATGAAAGGGAAAACATTTGTGTATAGATATAAAAACATTTCCTTTTTTCCCTATTTTATAAGTGATCACATACCCTCTGTTCTTAGCTGCAAATGAGCTCAGATAGCTAGGGGAAGAGAAACAGCCATACAGTGGCCTTCACAATGAATGGCTGTGCAGAGTGGGGGTCTGCCAGCACACGCCAGAGCATTAGAGGGGAGTTCTCAGCACAGCCACAAAACTGACCACACTATGCTCTCATGTCTAGTGTGTTCAGTTTTAATAGGAAAGAGACTGGTGGGAACACCAGATGTTTCACACAAGGGAAGCAATACAAAGAGAACAGGGTAATTTTTTATACAGGTACATGGTACAGTAGGCACATATCAGAAAAATGAATTGTTGGGTTTATGTATTCTTTAAAAAGGCCAAGCCAGATCCTTCCCATACCTCACCCCCCATCCCTACGCTATAAACCTCTCAATAATGAATAGTGGGGAAAGGAACAATAATATTTACCTATATCAATAGGACTATTTGTTCATATTTAACTATTTTTGTCCTGTCTTGGTGCTGGTTCCCGCACCGCCATTTTGGAAATGTATGTGATACTGGCACTAAATGCCTCTGTTGGAAAAAATAAATCCCAGAGATCTCAAAGATAATTTTTTCCCAGCAAATTATAGTAATTTCATACAGCACGTTCATAAAATGAGGTGTATGACATCATGGCTTCATCTTACGCGTTCTCAGGGTGACAATACTGCAAGATCTTGCATTCTAGGTATGAGATTTCCCTGAAGGCAATGGTAATGTTGCCTTCCCAGGTGACATTTGTGCAGCCAGGGCTACATCAACACTTCCTTCAGGAAAACCAAAGGAAAGAAAAGCAAAAAAATAAATACAAATAAAAATAAAGTGTTAGGCGATTTCACATCAGCATACAGATATGCATACTGATGTGAAATTTGGGGAAAAGGGAAAGATCTGCTTTAAGTAATACATTTTATATTTCATTTTTTTTTTTTTCGTTTTGTTTTGTGAAAACGTTTTAAATTGGTTTCAGTAATTTCCTGACCTGCATGACATTTTGCTGCCCTGTACCAGGCAAAGCTGAACAAGCTTCAGTAATAAACATAAGCAGTATATAAAATAAATTGACAGATGTTTAAGTCAGTCAGAGCTACATACCTGACTGCGGTGAGCAGGGCAATGGATCCAAAAAATCCAAAGTAAGGAACAAATGTGAAGAAAAAACGAGTATAGTAGGACAGAGACCAAGCTAGATCCTGTAAAACATAATAATAGGAATATAAAAACAGTGCAATGTAAAGAGGTGTTAACATACCATGAGATGAGTACACTTGTGAGTTAGCGCAAGCTTCTACAGTCAAGAGAAAGAGAAGACATACCCTTCCACCAAAACCTCACCCAGACTCACCTAAAGTCCTTCCTGTTGTAGAATATTCTAAAAGTATTCTTCATTAGGGCCTGTACCGATGGGCTTTGGGCATTTAATATTCATGGAAAGCTGCATTTGTCCTGCATGTGACCTTCTTCACCTGCATTCAATTGGATTTTGCAATCCTATAGACTTGTATAAGAATGCAAACCCCCGTCTGACACGTACAAAAGTCCATCAACACAAGCCTTTTAGAATTTCTATTTTTTTATACACAAATAATCGTTATCTCATATAGTTATCCAGAATGAAAGGAAATCTAATACTAAGAAATATGGAGACCATTGTTGAAATCTTCTTAAAATGAAAAAGTAGTCAGTCTGATTTGTCTTTAACTTTACTTACTGCATGCTTCTCATGGGTCAGGAACTCAAAGTATTGAGGGCATACATACCCAACAAGCAATTTCAGAAGGAGGTTAAAATGGAAGCCTCGACATTTCTCCCAGTACAGATTGCCTTTGAGACACTTCAACCAGACAGAAATAAATAGTACTCTTGGCATGCACCTTGTGGTTGTAGATCTACTTTTGCAGCTACTTAATGTTGGTCAGAAAAATTAAGTACTGCTAAATCACTTCAGGCTGGCTCCTTTTGCAGTTATAGCTATGTAAAACATTAAAAATAAGGGTAGAGGCTGATCTGCTGACACTAGAAATATTTACTGCTGTTCGGGGGCTCTGGGCTTCAGCAAAATGGCAGCCTCCAGCAAGAAGAAACAGTAACAATGCAGGAGGAAATATACAGCACACATTCATTTTGATAGTATAATCATTAATGTGGAATGTATGTTCCTTACGGAATAACATTATTTTGTATCAAGTTGTTATGGGTAAAGTTCCACCTTAAGAAGTGACTCTAAGAAATGGGTCATTATAAAGGTGAGACAATAGATAAAGGCTTCACATATTTTTATATTTAGCATTTGTATATCCATCTGCCATCTCTTGTGACTGAAATCCAAAAAGTCCTAACAGATTACTAAAAATGTATTTTTTTGTGCAAGTTAGGATGTCATTGCACACTAATATATCGTTTCAACATGTAAAAGATCTGAATATTATTATACAGGATTTATATAGCTCCAACAGTTTGTGCAGCGCTTTACAATATAAAGGGGGACAGTAGAAATACAATACAGTTCAATACAGAAGGAATAGGAGGGCCTTGCTCATGGGGCTTACAATTTAAAGGGAGGGGGAGTGTTTTTTCTTCTGTTCAATGGAAAAAAAATTCAATAAAAATTACCTGATGCAAAAAAAGGGAGGGTGAGGTGGTACAAAAGCTGCAAGAGATGATCTGATGGAAGGGACTCAATTACAATTTTTAGGTGGATTTGAAGAAGGCTTCTCTGAATAAATGAGTTTTCAAACATTGCCTAAAGGCGGACAGGGAAGGAGCTTACCAGACATACTAGGGTGGGGAATTCCAGAGGATGGGAGATGTTCTGGAAAAGCCCTGGATGCGAGCATGGGAGGAAATAGCAAGGGAGTTAGAGAGCCAGATGTCTTGGAAGGAGCGAGGAGGACGATTTGGCCAATATCTGCGGATGAGGATGGTGATGGTGATGTAGTTGAGTATGTGATATATGAAAGATATGTGAAATTTTGAGGTCATGCAGGGTCCCCTTCATCAGACAACTATGGGTGTTCTCTTTGAGTTATTGAGATATTCTTAAATGTTTTACTGGGCATACATCATTATGTGAAAGGGGGTAGTAGAAATTTCTTACCACCCAATCCTTGCGGGTTATCATAGTCTTCATAATTTGGACTGTGAAGTACACTGGGATCAGAAGTGGAGGACCAACTGCAGGAAACATAAATAATAATTATACTTTTTTAGAAAATTAAAGTTCAAGATCAGTAAAATGGTTAAGAAATTAAATTATAGTGCATTTACTCACTCAGAAAAAAATACCGGTGTTGGTAATTATACGGCAGGTACTTTAACTTCTTCGTCCCATACTGTGAGGAGATGGGAGAACATAATTAACTGCATATCTGTGTTGGATGTCCACAGCACCAAGTTCACCAATATGTTAGATAAATACAATATGAATAAATGACATAATCAGCTTAAAATCTTTTTCATAAACTGATTATCAGAAAGTTTTAGTGCTTTACACAGCACTGCAGATGCAAGATATTTGACTACCATCATTGAATGGTTATACTAGAAAACCATGTAAGAAATCTAGCCAGACAGCAGTCAAAGATCTTTCCAAATGAAATACATGAAAACTGCCCACATACAAACTCAAGATTGAGAGAAGAGGTCAATATCAGCTGTAGTATTCCCTACATACCGGTTCACTTATCAGGTATTTGATGTACAGTAGTACAAGCAGTACAAAGATTAGTTGATGGCTAATCTATAGTGTCCACATAAACCTTAGTAATATTACACAAATATCAGGTATATCTTTGTTTCTCCAAATTTGTCTCTCCACCTTTGTAGATCAAGTGACCAGTTTGGAACTATTGTTTACTTGATCCTTCTTGAAGAAGCTTTGATGGAACTCTGCTTTTGGCATTCGTCTTTTGTAGAGACTATGTGACTGGCATCAGGGGTGAAGACCAAGGACTAAGGATTCCAGTAGAAAGACACGTATTTCTGATATCTCTTTAAAATTTGTTATAAGTATTCTTGAGCATGGTTGGTATAAAACAAGCTTATGTGGACAGTATAGGTCCTTTATAGACAAGATCATTTTTTGCACTTTGAACAGCATCACAAGCTTTAACACTGAATATGTTTTATGCTCAGCACATGCACCTAGAGTGATACCCAAAAGGTCTGAGATAAATTGCTTTTATTATGATGCCAGTTCTAATTAGTGTTGAAACTGGATTGCCACTTTCTACTTCTCCCATGGGGATTCTTTCTGGCTCTCGTCCTGAGTTTACCTGAACAGGGCATGCCCTAGCAGTAAGCTCCTTCCCCCAGCACATACACATTGGACTTCTTCTGTACCCTGCCCCCACACACACCTCCCTTCACAGAATCTCTGCCAATGGTAAGAGTCCCTCCATTACACAGTTAATTGTAAGTCTCCAGAGTATGCAGTCAACTGTCAGTGCAATATGTGCAATAACCCTTCATTGAGCAGTTATAAGCATTATTCCTACATTGAGCATTTTTCAGAGTGCCTTAACCCCCAGTGGCCAGTAACATTTATTTCATAACGCATATAGTACATACACAAAATAAAACTTAAATATCTTATATGAAACATTAAAGTACACAATTACGACAATTAACAAATTTCACCCATTCCAAAAATTACCCCAGTCACAAAAAAGACACACATTTGTTAGTAAATGATTACATGACAAATTTCACAGTGATATGTGGCACATACCTCCACAGGCTGGGTGTCACCCAACACAAAAATGTGGACCATGTTCACATCTGGATCCTTGCTGAATATGTTAGGCTTGGCATGATGCTGAAAATGCCGATGGTTCCACCAGTTGGCTGAAGCTCCCTGATGGCAGATGGACTCAAGTAAGCTGAGCAGCAAGATTCTATATCAGTACATAGCTCTACAACTCCCTAGATGTAACCCATTTTTGTGAAAGATTTGATTTCTATCACTGACAAATATAGGACAAGATCTGCTATAGACAGTTTCATTGTGCTTGTAATAACGAATAGAATATCAATAAAAAATCTTTTGAAAAAGGTGAGGAACCCTTTTACTGAAGGATAATAGAAGTGAGCTTGTCTTTCCTAAATTGTGCTCCTGAGTTAACAAAGAACCTGGAGCACAGAACCCTTTTTCAGCAATTTGCATGCTCTGGACTCCCTAAAAGAGATTCAAAAATAGCTGACCGGCTGGAGTCTGAGAGTTCAATGAGATGCTATCCAATTTATTAAAAAAAGTGTATTTCATATCGAAATTGTGCACCAATAAATATTGCATTGTACAAGTGCTACATGTGTGATCTCTTTGAAAGACTCCACATAAACTGGCACAAATAGAAAAAATACCATTCAAACACAGTCAAAAATACATCTTGCAAGATCTTTAACCTTTAGCACCTCAAGGCAACACATTAGTCAAAAAACAGATCCTATGGAACCCCATAGATTAACTCACATCCAGTTTCCTTGTGTTGGAAAATACAGAAAAGGCATGACCAACCATCTGGCAAGAACCTTTAAGGAGAATCTATAATGCTTTTGCATACATGTTCTTCATTGATGTTTTATGTTCAGGTCAAAAACATATAGAGCCAAAACATCAATTAGGAGGGAGCAGTCAACAAGTGCAAAGCTAATGCTGGGCTTTCTTATTAGAAAGTCCAACATTCTCTGACAGAACTGTCTTAAATGTATATATGTGATATAGCAATTTTAACATTATGGAAAAATATATATAAAAGAATAGTTTATACACAAGCTAACAATAGATAAAATTGATCAAAACTTATCAAAGATAAGGGCAAAGTGACAGTGATATGTCCTTTATACTCACATAGCCTATGCTACCTCACCACCCCTTCCACTGCCACAGAAAATTACCTGTGTCCACGACTGCAACCCAAAGGAGAGATAATGTCACTCCTTCAGTCAGGTTGACAGTGTTCAGGCCTAGAGAATGGCTGCTACACATGACCACTGTCATGGGGGAGCAGATGACATGCCTTACCATACCTGGAACCAGGGGCGGACTGACAACTCATGGGGCCCCCGGGCAATAGGGGATCATGGGGCCCCTGTGTCCTTGCCCAAACTCAAAAAAGCCTATGAAAAAGGTACCAGGGGCATCTCATGGGGCCCCCTACTGACCCCGGGCCCTCGGGCAGTGCCCAAGTTTCCAAATGGTCAGTCCGCCCCTGCCTGGAACTGCAGGATAGTGTCACCGGCTGTGATGGAAGAAACAGCAGCAGCAGCAAGGGAACACAGGCCAAATGAGTAAAAGGGGTCTTCAAAGAGACACTGTAACTTTTCTCTGCATAGGCGAGGTGTGTTTACTGTGTTTTCCATAGCAGAGGTCTATACAAATCATCTACATTCACATTTGGACACCAATGAGAGTTTCTATTTTATTCCCCACTGTTTTCGGAACTTTCCCCAGATAATTACTTATATGAGTCTGAAATAATAGAACATCAGAAAACCACCAATTCCTATGCCGTGCTGAACCTACACAGAAAGGAACTGACTCATATAATGAAGGTATACTCATCCACCTTAGAGCATTAACCCTTAAATTCATAACATTATCCACAAAGAAGATGATTTTCTTAAAATACCATTATACTGACTTTCTACCTTTTTGTATTTGCACTAAATAAATGCATATAATCTGATTATGTTCTCCTTATCTATGTTTATGCTGGACAGATGTCATATCTAGGCCCTGAATCATATTTTCATTACACGACTAATCATCCCCTCTATGACAGTACCTTCAGGTGGCCAATGATGAATTTATGGCCAATATGATTCCATTTTGACTTCTTGAAGACAGATAAGTGTCCAAAGTCATGTTGCAGCCAACCAGCCTGGGCCTGCAGAAAAATACATGTCCCATGAATATATATACCCAGGGTGCTGAAATTTACAGTACAAAACTAAAATGTTTAAGAGTGTTAAGCACTGGGCTGACATATAAGATAGAGAAATTGGAAAGTGATTGTGTTGTTTATAGCACACAGTCAGATTCCATCCGTAATTTTCCCATCCACGTTAGTAAATCTAACCAGGAATTTAATTGGAATTTTTTCATAAACGCTTTGGTTTCCTAATATTTTATACACCAAGTCCATTAGGTCTCTCACAAGAATGAACTAATTCACTAGGCAATTGGATTATGATGAATTGAAATGACCTGAGAAATTGCGAGGAGCAGAATGATCATTATAGTTGGTATCCATCCAGTGCCAAGGTAGTAGAGGGTAGCCCAGGCGAGAGCCTCTAGGATCAGGATGTGTAATAGGTAAAGACTGAAAAACACCACGCTGCTGTTGAAAAGTCCCATGTCTTCTGCTGTTTTGCGTAATTTCTGAAAGTCTTCCACTTGCTCCATCTGTATGAAGACAGTATTGCATTAAGAAAGCTTAAAGAGTATGTAAACCCAACATTTCATATTCCCAATATGTGGGTGCTGTACCATGTACTATTATGAAAATGTATCCTGTTCTTTTTGTATCGCTTTCTTTGTGTGAAATCCCTGGTGTTCCTGCCAGTCCCTCTGCTTTCCTAATAAAAACTGACCACACAAAGCAGAACACACCATGATCAGTTCTCTAGTTGTGCTGGAAACTCAGTCTGCTCTCTTCCAATTGTGAAGACTTAACCTGACACCCCCATTCGCCAACCACCACCACCACCACACAGCCTTTTACTGGAAAGCTCAGTGTGCTGCTGTTTCTCTACCCCCAGTTCTCTGTTTTCAGCTGCATAAGGAGCAGGGGCGGACTGACCATTTGGAAACACGGGCACTGCCCGAGGGCCCGGGGTTAGTAGGGGGCCCCATGAGATGCCCCTGGTACCTTTTTCACAGACTTTTTTGAGTTTAGGCAAGGACACAGGGGCCCCATGATCCCCTATTGCCCGAGGGCCCCATGAGTTGTCAGTCCGCCCCTGATAAGGAGCTTAGAGCGAATGTGATCACTTCATATAAACGGGGGAAAAAAGTATTTAGAATATTTTTCAAATCTATACACAAATATTTTGCCTTTCATTTCTAGTTTAAACCAAATGGGTTTTTTGACAAGGTGAGGGTCTATAATAACTTTAACATTCTTCAATAAAATCTGAATGAATCTTCAAATTAACATGAACATTACAAATTCTACAGGGTGACTCCAAACAAAACAAGTAAACAGTCCTTCCCCACATGGTGGGGGTCTGCTTTCGTAAATGTAAATGCCATCTACTTGAATTTTGCTGGATGTTCTTAAAGCGGAGTTCCACCCAAAAGTGAAAGCTCCACTTTTCTGCCTCCTTTACCCCTCCACTGCAACATTTGGCACCTTTGGGGGGGAATGGGTACCTGGTTTTGACAGGTACCCACTCCCACTTCAGGCTCAGTTTGCTGCGGACTGACCCCCCCCCGCAGCCCCCTGGGATACTTCCAAGATCCCAGAGGACTGAGTCCCATTCACAGAGTGCAGCACATTTCTCACATACAGAGTAGGAAACTGGTAGTGAAGCTACTTTCCCTTAGTCAAGATGGTGGCGCCAGCACCCAACAGCCAACTGAAGAATCGGCTCCGTGTGAGGACACCGTTGGATGTATGGACAGGTAAGTGCCCTACTATTAAAAGTCAGCAGCTACAATCATTGTAGCTGCTGACTTTTATTTTTTTTTTTTTCGGTGGCAGGTGCTGGAACTCAGCTTTAATAAAACATTAAGAACAATCGGAGAGATTACAGATTTGAACTCAATCTACTTATTCCTGTCAGGGCAGATCCAACAGTTCTAATGTCAGCCAAATAGACTGTTCACTTTGCAAGGGAATTTTCCTCAGAACTTAATGTATGAGGTGAAGTTCTTTTGACTTCACTGCAATGTTATTTTTGTCATTTTTCGTCAATGGCATGTTTCTAGTGATGAAAACTAAGCAAACATTACACAGAATTTATCGGCAATTGACGAAAACTATGACGAAATCAATTCCAATTACGAAAATGGAATGAAAATGTGAGGAAGGGATACCACAAATAACAACATGTAATTAGGTTTTTTTTTTTTTTACTCCACTAGTGTACTATATAATGAGTTTGAGTTTGGAAATTCTAGGGAAATGCTTAAATAATGCATTACAATTTAACTAAACCCATTAGATTTTAGTTGACTAAAATATACTGGAGATTTTTTTTTATTGACATGTAGGATATTTTAGTCAATTGAAATGTACTGCAGATTTTAGTCAACTAAAATACAACTAAAACTAAAACAATTCAGATGACTAAATACAACTAAAATTAAAATGGCATTTTAGTCAGCTATGACAAAAACTAAATCGAAATTTGATGTCAAAATTAACACTGCTTTGGTACAATCATGTGCAAGCCAAAATACTGTTTGGTGAAATTCCCTTGCAGAGTGAACAGCCTATTTGCCTTCAATAAATGAACGCCTGTAAGCCTAAGTGCAAAGAGAACTTAGGCTTCCATAAAGGAGACATGAAAGTGCATGACCCTCACACCAGCAGTCATAGCCTGATTTTGATAGCTGTCTGTTTAGGGCAATAATGAATGAAGGTTCCTGCAGGACATTTCATGTTTCAAGGTAGGTTTGCACATTGATTGGAACATATATGTCTATAAAGCAGGGCTTAAAATTTCAAGTCTAGACCTACTAGCCAGGCAAAAACCTTACTCTCCACCAGTTGCCCCACCAAACCTTGCCCAGGTCCATCTCCAACCCCACCCCAGGCCTAGTCCTCCCTCCAGCAAGAGTCAGCAGCTGCTCCCTGTGACAGGAGTGAAACTGCGATCACTCTAGACACTGAGGAGCGGCACCAGCAGTGTGCCCCCCCTCAACACAGTGCTTGGGGGAAGTTGGTGCTGCTGGTAGCACCCGCCCCCCACCCTCCGATGCGGCGCCTAGGACACACTCGCCCCCATGTTATTTTCACTCGACAAATGCGAGCAGGCGAGTGGAAATTTCAAGCCCTGCTATAAAGGGTTCAATAATCATGTATATATGCACCATTATCACAAATAACAGTGTCTGGGTTCCACTATCTACCACATGTCCCACCACTACCAGCATCCCACAGTCCTGCAAATTATAGAACAGGAAAACAATTCCTTAAAAAAATCAGACATCACCCAACCCACATGCAATAGGCTCTGTGGATTCTGGCTGCAATTGATTACATAGGACTTGGAGAAGTTTCTGACTTAAGCACAATGGCAGTGTTCCATCATCATGAAGTTTAGGGCACTAGGTGGCAAAGATACAAACATTATTAAATCATGTTCTCCCAAAGACACAGGTATCGGTAGTATAGGTTACCTCCGCTCCCCCATAATGCTACGCAACTGAGAAAGGTGAAGCAACAGATTTTTAAATAGTGGGAGACAATACACAAACCTGTCAAGCATTGTGGTCCATTCCCCTGAGGTTGAATTATGAGACACAGATGGCTTGCCCACCTTCTACCTGATTGAGACTTGCCTTACAATATGCTATAAATAGTGCAAAAGACTAACTGATACAGGAAAACTTTCCTTAATAACAATGGCCATTTAAATGTCTGCCCACTGGTAATGAACACGTTTCACAATTATCACAGATTTGCAGTCTAGGCTCATGTTTCTGAAGAGGTCAGGGTCTGAGAAAGCTTGAGAATAATATCAATAATACAGGAGCCCAGAACAAAAAAGCACACATGAATAATGGAGAAACTAGATTATATTACTCAGCAAATGACGTGCACAATTAAATAAAGTATGCCACACTAATATAATCAATTCAGTGCTGGATTGTGCCACAAATTACAAAGTGCAATTTGTCATACATATTCACCACTTTTATGTGATAATCAATACCGTATGTACCATAAACAGTTGAAGACATTAAAACAATGCGTGTTGAACAATTGTACGTGTTAAAAAACAAAAGTGTTGAGAAATAAAGGTCCTTTATAAACTCCCAAAAATAAAGAAAAAAATAAAAATTCTTCCATTTTGCGTTCAGGTGTAACACCACCACCAACTCTTATGGGCATGCTCTCACCTTATCTTACTGACCTCTAAAATCAAAGGTGTAAAGCACATATCCCTTTTAGAGCCTGGACAGGGCTGTCACTGCACCAATGTTTCTACAGGTTATCAAGCATTAGGGATCACTCCATATAACCGTCTCAGAGAGATACAACAGAAAACACCATAGTGCTCTCAACAAACCAAAATATTTATTGATGAATAAAAACGCACTTACAAATACATATCACTTTTGCTTTAAATCACACATGCTGGGGAGACGGACTCTGGGGCGAGACGATGAGCCTGCCACTGCCATACCACTCTGTTATGTCTTTCCTGAAGCTGAGGGCAGCACCTCTTCTCACCAGTGACCTCCCTTTGCTCTGCCCAACATGTTTCATGTGAGCCTGTGATTATGTTGTGATGATGAAACATGCTGGGCAGAGAGCACCATGGTGTTTCCTTTTGTATCTCTCTGAGCTGGTTATATGGATTGATCCTTGATGCATGACAAGATCTTAAAACATTGGTGGACTGACAGACCTGTCCAGGTTCTAAAAGAGATATGCACATTAGACATTTTATTTAAAGTTTTACTAATCCCAGGACACTGCATTCACTACATCTGGTCTCCCACAGTACACAGAACATGGAAATTATTTTAGTAAATATAAACTGCTAAATACCTTTTCTCATTAGCAGTTAGAGAAGTATTGTGACTTCTATCAGTGTTCAGCAGAGCATTGGTTAAAGCTTGTAGGAAGAGTTTTCATTCTCCTCCAGGAGGATGCAGAACCCCTGACCTCTGTCTGGACAGCACTGATTGGCCCTGTGCTGATCACATGCACTCTCCCAAGAGAAAAGAAAACAAGCAATACACACCAAACTGATCATGTGTAGACTGTCTCCACATGATATGTCTTATAAGGAGATAAGAAAGGAGCATTCGAAGAAGGGGAGGATCAGAGAAGTCAAGATCAAACAGCATGTTTACACAATGCAGAGACCTAACCCCTAAGGTTCCACAGTGAGTATAACCAGCATGCTTTACTACATATAACAACTGATTTTAACTGTTGTGGGTTTAGTAACAATTTAAAGACCATTACGATAAGGTGAGAGTGTACCCATAAGAGGTGGTGGTGGTGGTGTTACATCTGAACACAAAAGAGAAGAATTTTTTACTTGTGGAAGTTTTTCATTATTTGTGGGCATTTATAAAGCACTTTTATTTATGAACGCTTTTGTTTCTTAACACTTACAATTGTTCAACACATATACAGTGGGTATATAAAAGAATCACCCTCCTTTAAAACAATCACATTTGTTGCTTTGCTGCCTGAAATGAAGACAGACCCAGTTTTTCTTGTTTCCAACTGTATTTACTTAGTGCAACTTCTAACATCAAAGTGAAAGATAAAACACCAACATGTCAGAAAAAAAAAGAAAATTCAAAAACAGAGTCACTGAGTGAAAAAGGATCACCCCCTTGTGTCAGTATTTTGTTGAATCACCTGTTACTTTAATTCCAGCCTTTAGTCTGTTGGGATATGTCTCTACTAACTTTGCATATCTAGACTTTGCAATATTTGCCCACTCTTCTTTGCAGAACTGCTCGAGTTCAGTTACGTTTGATGGTGACTGTCTGTGGACTGCAGTCTTCGATTCCTTCTATAAGTCTGGGCTCTGACTAGGCCATGCAAGGACATTCACCTTTTTCTCCTTCAACCACTGCGGGGTCATTTTTACTGTGTGCTTTGGGTCATTGTCATTGTCATTTGGGTCATTGTCCCATTGACAACTTTTTGGCAGAGAGCAGCAGATTTTCCTCTTGAATTTGATAGTATTTTGTCCCATCCGTTTTTCCTTCTATCCTGACAAGTGCTCCACTCCCTGCTGCAGAGAGACACCCCCATAACAGGGTATTACCACCTCCATGATTTACTGTAGGAATGATGTTATTTGGATGGTGAGCTGTAATGGATTTCCTCCTGACATATAATTTAGTGTTGAGGTCAAATAATTCAATTTTAGACTCATCTGACCATAACACCTTTTTCCATGTAGCCTCAGATTCTTCAAGGTGTGTTTTGGCAAAGCTCAGCCATGGCTGCATGTGGCCTTTCTTGAGGAGTGGCTTTTTCCTTGCAATCCTCCCATACAAGCCACGTTTGTGGAAAATTTGTGATATTGTTGTCACGTGCACACAAGGACTACTCTTTGTCATAAATTCCTGCAACTGCTTCAGAGTTGCTGTAGGCCTCTTGGTAGCCTCTCTGACCAGTTTCCTCCTGACTCTTTCATCCAGTGTTGAGAAACGTCCTCATCCAGGGAGGGTCTGTGTTGTACCAAATACCTTCCAATTCTTAATAATAAACTTCAATCTTCTTCTAGGTATTGATAAAGCGTCTGAATTAATTTTGTATCCATCTCCTAACTTTTGCTTGTCCACAACTTTATCTCAAAGATTCTGACAGTGCCTTGTCACACATAGTAGATTGTTTGCTTCAGTTGCACTACCGGGGACTGAAATTCTCCAGGAAAGCTCTTTTCATGCTGAGCTAATCAAAGTGACCACAGCTGATCGAAGTTGAAAGTTTAATGGATTTTTGTGCCATTGAGAAGGTGACACTGCACTGCAGTGCGCTGCACTGTCACAAGTTAGCTTGCAGCCTCTTGTTTGTTTGTCTTACCTCTTTGCTGTTCTTTCACATGTGTGTTTCTCTGTGCTCACCTATGGGCGTCATCTGCTATTCCCTGGGTTTTATGTGCTTTCCTTTCATCACTTCCTGGCCCGCCTCCTAGCTGGTCTGTCTATTTAAGACATGCTCAGTCTGTCTCACTTTGCCTGAGCAACGTTTGTTGTCTGAGCTCCCCTGTGGTCCTCTGAGAGTCCGTTCTAGTATATTGGTGTACTGACCCCGGCTTGTCCCTCACACTCCTCCTATATTGTCTATCTGTGTACCGACCTCGGCTTCGTTCCTGACATTGCCTGTCTTCCACCTGTCCTGACCTCGGCTAGCCTACTGGATCTCCTGAGTCTACTCCCATCGTACTCTGCTCCTGCTGGCGGTCTCTTCTACCTCAGCTGGGTGTACCTGGGGGCCGCGACCTGGTCCCAGCCTGCTGCAAGTCCATCCCCACCATCAGGGGCTCTGGTGAACAAGCGGGCTGGGGCTTAGACTCCGCGCCCTGGGCAACCCCAAGCTGTGGATTAAGAGCTCACTACCACAGGTGCTGACATGCACCTCATTGAGTTTACAAGTCATTTGTAAATTTTCCAAATCAGTGATTCTGTTTTTTATTTTTTTATTTTTTTTCTTTCTGACGTGTCTGTCTTCATTTCAGGGTGCAAAGCAACAAAATGTGATTATTTTAAAACAGGGTGATTCTTTTCTATACCCATTGTATATATACTCAGAAGTCTTTTTTCTGTTTAATTGCTCTAGTATATGCATTAAAATGTATGTAAAGGCAACTTTTTTAGTATAGTTATGGATAGAGTAGCCAAGGTTTAGACCCTTTGCCACATTTTTACAGCTATCTGTATCTCTTCTAGGGAGGTTAACACCGTTATTTGTCCTTCTGACCATAGCCACCACAAAAGGAATTGAGGGGAAAGGGAAACCCAAACAATTTGAGGTGTCTTTAGAACAGGAAGTAAGGGAAATCTCCAAATTCCCTAAGACAGGAATTCTGTTTCCTTTGGAGAGATTTCCTTTCATTCCATGTTACTTCTCTAGCCAGGCTTTGTAAAGCAATGTGATAGAAGACTTACACTTTTTCCACGGTCCTGGCTGGGCTCATTTTCGGCCAATTCTCCAACATACAGCGGCTTCAGAAATTTCCTCACAAAATTCAGATCTGGATGAAATGCATGGAAAGCTTCCTGTGTAAAAAAAGAAACAATAAATAGGTAATTTCTTGCCGTTGAAGAACATTCCCTAACAATAAGTAAAACCAACACAGCAACTGCTAAAGTCCACTAACTTACCATAAAGAGAGTGTATCACCACCTCTTAGTTTAAAAAAAAAATTACAGCTGAATCTACAGCCTCTATTTCACTGTAGCTAAATTCAACACTTCTGGGAAGTCTTCGAATGTACAGGAATTCTTTTTCTCATCCACCCCACCCTAAGTCACTGCTTACTCTTGTCAAGCCCAGCACAACCTTGAGCTCTTTGTCAGCCAAAGGGGCCATACGCATGCAGCTGGCAGGGATTGTACTGCACGTGCAGGAGATCCTGGCATGGCATCATTTTACAGGTCCGTGGCTGCTGGTACCATTGATGTAGGATAAAATATGGCAGCAACTGGAAGCACATGGACAGCATTTTTTGGGCATCCCATGGGGACACCTTTTAGACATACGGCATCCATTTTATTTATCAGGGGATTTATGACAGATCACCAGCTGAATTGGAGCATTCTCTGATTGGACAAGGTGGGAAAATGGGGCAGTGATGTCACAATCTCCACCTTGTCCAATCAGATAACACTTTGCAGATATTGAGAAAATAGTAAGCGTTCTCTAAATGGCACCCAGTGCTGAGCAAATGACCTACTGTGTTCAGCAAGCCACCTGGCATGGGACATGGAAGTTAGTGGCGAACACTGTAGTAGCATTGCCTACTACTGTGGTTTCTAGCTTCCACTGGGATCCCACAGATATGGCACATACCTACTTGCATTGGTCTACTGTGGACTGATGTACTTATGTAAAAAAATGCCATACTTAAACTTCAGCTTTAATATGAGGTCAATGTACCGTAATTCTCATAAAGCAGATTTTAAAGTGCTCCTTACTTGTTGCGTGGGCGAGTCAACTTCCCAACCTATGTGCTTTACATATTCCTCTCTCTCTCTCCTTCATGTATCAGCAATCAGATTCAAACTTCATATGCAGGTTTGAATATGATTGGTGCATGTAAGGATCTTCATAGCACTAACAAGAATTATGTATGTGGGATTCAGCAAGGAGCCTGCAGTGAGTGTATTTCAGAATACTTTTCTCCCACCTCCCTTTTACCCAGTCTGCATGTTTTTGTTTTTCTTGCCTTGTGGATCAAGATATACTCACCTCAGTCTGCTGTCCATTTTTCTTGCCTGCTCTGTTTCCAGGTGCAGAGACCACTATTCCACTGCTGAAGATGTGCCCACATTGTTTGGTACCCAACAATCCCCTTCACTCCACTTCTGAATCCTCAGAGGACTCCACCACTGGCACAAAGTGTCCACATCTCGAAAGTGATGTGGACAAAGAAAGATCCTGCCTTATGTAAACAGGAGAGGAGAGAAGACTCTGGACTGCAGAGTCACACAACCATGGCCTTAGGTAAATAAAAGGCCAAAGTTGGGTTTCAATTACAATAAAAAAGCAAAAGTAGTTTCCAGATCCGAAGAGAGGCAATCCCTAGCTGAAAAATCAAAAGCCTGACCAGGTAGGTTATGTTCCCTATTTCTTGCTGAAGACTCTGATGGGTGAAACGTACGTCGGAGCGTCATAACATCACTTCAGGGTACAGGAACGTCCAAGCAGAGTGAAAACGAGGCTTGAAGTGCATGGTGGCCATTTTTAGAATTTTACAAGCTGGAAACACTGGTGCCAGTCTATAGACACCTTTACATGTGAGTGCAATATAGTATTTTTATATGTAACCATTGTTTCTTCATTAAAATACTACACTTAGGGAACAATTTACTTGTTTGATTCAATTAATGGTCAGCTGCATTCCTGTGGGAGGAATATCTATAAAGCATCATATTGGAGGCAAATTGTGATCCCTTATACTTGGCCATCCTAATGAATTGCTGAAGGGGAGTAATGGAGATAACACCGAAAGAGGTGGTCCCCTATAAGACCAAAGGCGTATTTGACCACCGTAACTGGGGACAAAGGATCTGGTGAGTGAGCAATCCACACTATACTTCTGTGAGCACGTGGTGAAGATTACAGTCACAACCTCATCTCTGCTGTGGTTTGGGACAGATATGAGAAGCTGCAAGGATTGTCACTTTATCTATGGACTTTTTCACAATTTTACCTTTAGTCCTCATGCAGACGGGGCATTTTGATAACGCTGGTAACGTTAGCTGTGTAAAGTCATGTTAAAACGTGAGTTTTTCAGCTTTTTTTTAGTGTTTATGCATTAACGTTTAGCGGCGTTTTGCCTCGATTAGCAACACTTTCCCGCATTTGCGGTTTTTTTTTAGCGTTCTTTTTGACCAAAAAAAAAAATATTTTTTGGTCAAAAAAGTCCAAAAACGCCAGTTTGCTGTGTTTGTGTTTTACCGCATTTTTTCAGCGCTTTTCAGTGTTAGAATGTTTTTACAGCTAAAAAACTTCTCTAGAAACCCACTAGTCCTGGGTTTTTTTTTCCAACCAAAAAACTTCCCAGCCAAAAACCGTTGATTAAAGTCTATGTGTGCATGGACACTTGTAATTCATTGGTAACATATGTAATCCATTGGTAAAATTGGCTTGTATCTGTCTAGAAATTTCAGGTTTGGTCCATGCACTGGGGGGTACGCACCAAATTTGAGGCACTATATACAGGGATTTTTGGCAATATTAATCCCTCACTTATTGCACCTATACTTGTTTTATTTGTTTTGTGTAAATGTAGCGCCTACCTATTCTATTCTATTATATGTTCCCTATTTGCCTGTTTAGTTTTCTTCTATATTCATATTTCAAAAATAAAACGACAATATACTGTATCTATCTATCTATCTGTCTATTCCGTCTGTCCGTCTGTCTATCTATCTATCTATCTATCTATCTATCTATCTATCTGTCTATCTGTCTGTCCGTCTGTCCGTCTGTCCGTCTATCTATCTATCTATCTATCTATCTATCTATCTATCTGTCTATCTATCCGTCTGTCTATCTATCTCGTCTGTCTGTCTATCTATCCGTCGTCCGTCCGTCCGTCCGTCCGTCCGTCCGTCCGTCCGTCTATCTATCTATCTATCTATCTATCTATCTATCTATCTATCTATTTAACTATATATATATATATATATATATATTTTTTTTTTTTTTTTTATGTTTATGTAGTAGTAGTAGTATGTTGTACTATGTAAGTGTATAATTGATATTAGATTTTATCTGCTGAACTGTATTCTTCCTCATGAAAGGTTTCCTTGACTGCGCCTGACCGCCAGTTGCCTGCACTGCTGTGAACTGCAGTAACCTCATCTTTGCATCTCTCTGTGTCCCTTGTTCTCAATGAGCCTCAGCAGAAGGCTCTCCTCCAATCAGAGCGCTGCTTTATTTGGAGCCCTCCTACAGGCAGACATGACCAGCTGTCTCTAACAGACGAGACAGCCCTCGGAAACCCTTTATGGCACTGTTCCTAATTTTTTTATACGCTTAAGGCTCACGATTTGCACTGTGTGATATGACAGAAGCAGACCGCACAGATCCCCGGGACTAAAGATCTACATGTCTACGTACATAAAGACATGCATTATAGGCTCTGGGGTCTAATTATAACATCACACTAATACAACGTACAATCCGATTCAGACACAGATGTAATAGGGTATGCAGATATACTGAAATCTGATCACATCTCTTCTCATTGAAGTGCACAATACAAACTCCCAAGCCTTTGTTGACTTAGGTAATAATGATGGGCACAGTGCAGTCAGGCTCATGCCTATGGGGAATGTGTGAGGTTGATTTACTAAAGGCAAATAGGCTGTTCACTTTGCAAGATAATTTTTCCCATTCATTTAGTAAGCTCTGCTGACTTTCATCATCCAATCATTGGCAAGTAAAAATAATTTTTTTTTTTAACTTGTCTTGCACATGATTGGTTTATTTTTTCAAAGTAAGCTTTTGTCACATTCACTAACCTTAGGGAAAATTCCCTTGCAATGTATGAATCAGCCCCTATGTATGTATATAGCCATTCAGTTGTATCCAGCTCTTGACAATTCTATGGGAAGCATCATGTCTGATTTGCTTGAAGGCTTGTTCCATAGAATTTTCTTGGGGATATTTTCACAAGGTAGGTCGTCGTCAAGTCTTTCCTTAACCTTTCCAATTCCTCCAGCTTTGGACCGGCATGCAGAATGCAATAAGGCAATAGGCATAGTCAATTTGTGCAAAAGGGGGAGAATACACAAACTCAATGCAGATGGTGGCTAACATTTGACCCAAGGGCCCCAGTGCTGCAAGGCATAAGTGCTAGCCACTGTGCCCCCCTATAAAAATAAAAGATATAGCCTGACTACTGATTGGGGCATTTATGGTCTTCAAGATGGCTGCATTCACTGCTATGTTGATAGATTGTCATACCTAAGAGGTTATCACTGCTGCACTCAACTGCTTACACTGCTGTAGCTGGTGTTCATTGAACTGTGCTGTAGTGCTCTAACCCCCCAGTCACATCAAGCCCATCTGAAATCGTGCGACTTACAGTGAAGTCGCACGATTTCAAAGTTGGGTGAGATGGCAATTTCAGGTGCGAATTGCAAGACATCTGACACAGATGTCTGTGCAAATCACACCAAAAGTAGTGCATGTACTACTTTAGAAGTCGGTGCGGCTCCGACCAAATCAGTATCACACCAATTTGACCGCTCTAATTGCGGACAATAGGGTGCGACTTGGCATGCGATTTGCAAGTCGCATGGTACGCAAATCGCATGCCAAGTCGCACACGATGTGACCGGGTGTTAACCAGTGAAAGACTGCATTCACTACACAGGTGAGTGGTGGGGACTGCTCATTCTAAAGTTTTAAAACTAAGGACATTGGGCTGTGTCTCCTTTGTTAGTGAGCCCTAACGCCAGTGTCATTCATTACCAGGTGGCGGACTGACCATTTGGAAACTCGGGCACTGCCCGAGGACCTGGGGTCAGTAGGGGGCCCTATG